CGATCCCTCAGTCGCAAGAAATCCTTCACAAGGAAAGGCAGGACCCGAGATCAGAAACCGAAACTTGGTCAAGAAACTGGATCATCAGAATCAGAGGTAAGTCTCTCTCACAGAGAAATCTCCGTGCACCTTTTGTGCCTCTTTCTCGATTGCGTGTGATTGTAGTGTAACATTTTACTTTTCCTCGTCTGTTATTGTTTTATAATATTGTTGAAAATCATTTCTCTCCTTTGGAGCCACATCGTCAAGACCTGAAGGGAGGGGAGTAGTGCTTGGGCAATCTACTTCCTCTTTGTCCAAAGCTGCATCAGGAAAACTGCTTGAAGATACTCTGTCAAGACGAAAAAGACCAAATTATATAGATAAAAATGTATAATAATTATTGTTTTATACAACAAACTGAGGATTCTATAGCTCGTAATGCTCTGTATATATATATATATATATATATATATATATATATATATATATATATATATATATATATATATATATAATAGCCTACAACCCGGAAGTGACAAGAATGTGCTTAACAGACAGACCTGTCCAAAACGACCAACTATTTGTCTAGGAGAAAAGTGATCATCTGAGACAGGAGCTGGCTCTCTTGGACACTGTCATTCTACATAGAGAAAAACGCATGGGGGAAGGGGGCGTGGTCGTTTGTACAGTTGGTTGTCTTGGGCAGGTGATCGTTACAGCAGGTTCAACTGTACAGGTTTTGTGTGGGGCCCTGTCCAATCTGGATCAGTCTGTATATAGCTGGGCACAGAGGGGCCGGGTTCGGATCCGAATATTGACGGTCAGACAGTGCGGGGAGTGTAGATTAATTTAATGCTTTTTGTCTCGACCGACTGTAGGAGGAGGACCATGACTTCAGTTGTGAAGCACAGTAGATCTTTTTGTTTTGTTTGTTTTTGTAAAGTGTTTTACGGCGCTCGCAACTGCATAAGGTCATATGAGCGCGCGGGACACACCTAATATTTTCAGTTGGTAAGAAATTTTGAATTTAACCCGGGAGGCGGCCGAAGCCTACTCTTATCGATTTTAGACCACCAAAGGATCTTTAACGTGCGCAACTTGCACACAGGCCCTCCGAGATTTTTCGCCCTTGTCCGAGAAGGCTAGGTGTAGATCTTTCCTACCAGAAGATCAAGGGTGTGGCAGAAAGACAGCAGTAAGAAGAAGCGAAGGAGTAGTAGTAGAAAGGCTGCAGAAAGAATCTGGAGCCCAGAGGAAGGGGCAAGGGAGGTGAGGGGGTGGGGGCAGAAAGAGGAGACGAAAGCTGACGACAGAACATTGCCAGAGAGCAGGAAAGGAGGTGAAAGGAGACAAATTTAGAGAAGAAAATTTTTCTGTCGCTACCCGGATTCGAACCCGGGACCTTTTGAATGAGAGGCCAACACCTTAACCTCTAGGCCACGAGAGCCCCCACAGTAGATCTAGATACATGTAGGCCTATCTATGTATTGTGTGTGTGTGTGTGTGTGTGTGTGTGTGTGTGTGTGTGTGTGTGTGTGTGCGCGTGTCTGTGTGTAGGCCTACGTGTGTGTGCGTGTCGTGTATTCTGCGTCATCGTTTTCACAGGATTTTTCTATTAATAGCGCCGGCTAAAAATCGGAAAGTCCATGTTTGTGAAATTCTTGTGTGACGTCACATCCGCCCACGATACGAGTAAAGGCGAAAAGAAGTTTGGAATTCTGTTCAAAAGTCGAACCGTAGAAGTAAAAACTCAACATGCGTTTTTGTCCTTTTCCGAAATGTGAAGCTAGATTGTTTTATAATTAATCCCTTGGTTGGCTTAGAACAAGGAGGTTATAAATATAATTCTTAGGTCCTTAGAGAGGAATAATATTTCTCCCCAAATGACAATAAATTTCGGGAATTCCCTTTGTCCTGGAAATTAACTCGCTCTGTCGTTGTCGTCACATCCGGCCGCCGCAGTTTCCACCAAGTAGGTCAACACAAGTTTCCGTCGCAGTCACATAGGCCAGATCTAGATCTAGGCTAGATATAGATCTATAACTTTCTATGAGTATGAGGCCTGGAGCAGACGTCGATGGTGAAAACTTTGTGACTCAGAGACCAGTGGACAGCCGTAATAAAGTGACTATTTACACGTGGTGAAAACTTTGTGACTCAGAGACCAGTGGACAGCCGTAATAAAGTGACTATTTACACGTGGTGAAAACTTTGTGACTCAGAGACCAGTGGACAGCCGTAATAAAG